CTGGTTTTATCTTGATTTAGATATTGCTCATTCACAATTGAAAAGGATTCGAAACATGTAATCCAACTTGTTAAACCCGATTATTAAAACATTATACATGTAATGGGAATGATTGAATGTCGGTACCCATTGGAGGATCCACTGCCAGCCTTTGTTTAGATACCTCCCACGTCATTCTGGGTCGACTTTGCTGACGTCACAGTGGTAGTGTGACTTCACACATCTGCATCCTCGTGAGGGATCGATCACATATAATTGGAATAAACAACGATGCTTGTCTACCGTAAAAGAAAGCCAGCTGATTACCGATGTGGCGGTTAGGTTTGGTATCGTCATCTCCTATAGGTGTTACATCATGGTGTTCTTAATTAGCACAACAAGCGAGAAAACCACCTGATTAATATAGAGTGGCGTGTCAAACATTCTTTGTCGCTTTGTGTGGAGGTGAGGTGAAGTGAAATGGGGTTTAACGTCGCACTTAAGGACGCTCATATGACGACGTGCATGCGTGTGTATGTGTGGCTGCTTGTACTATCTGGTTTTATAGTGCTAGCTCACTGAGATACCATGCCGCATGTGACACATTATACTGACTCCGAGCCGACCAGTCCTTGTTTTACCCATTAATGCCGAGGCAAGGACCAACAAGTAACATATTTTAACGTCTTTTGGTATGACGCGGCCGGGATCAAACCCGCGACCTTCCGCTCTCCGGCGGACGCTCTGAACACTGCACCACCTTTTGTGTGGATATGTGGATGTGTTATAAAGGTATGGTGTCGAATTCTTTCTTGTTATGCACCTCCAAAAATTTTAATTACAAAATGTCAAACACGCGCCGTGTAATAAACATTCCCAGCCGTTCCTCAGCGAGCTGAGCCTGCCATGTGTATAGTGCACATCAATAACCCGTCTCAGCCAATCAACGCCTGACACGTCATCATTGACTCCGTCTACGTCTACAATAACACGCGTGTTTGTCTGATAGAAACACGTTAACAGCCCACGATACATTCGAAAACACCACATCACAAATGCCGTCACTGAGCTGCCCATTTTAACGACCACTACAACGGTACATAGAGTCCCTAACAGACGCACGAAACGTCATTGACGGTGGTTTACAAGCGTAAACAGCGCAACCATACTCTCCAACACATGCGAACGTCCTTACACGTGCAGCACGTGCAATGACGTTAATGAGTTTAAATGATCAGATGCAGACATCATGTGCTTCAGTTCCAGACTCGCCAACAGACATGTCGTTAGGAAGAGTATTGTTTCCGTGTTCAGACATACCAAAGATACCACTACGCATGTTTTCCTCTCAACCCAGGACTGTTGTTATCGTATTTCAAAGTCAGGGTGAAGGGTCACATTGCGTTGGTTTTTGAAATGGTGTATATAAGGTACCTATTCTCCTACAGGTAACATACTGCACCTAGACGCCGCCCCTGACAGGTAAGCATTGTTCCCTTGTTTACATACAGGGACTTTGATGCTTTCAGAGGTTCATATCTTAATTCTATAAACCGTCTTCGGTCTACTTGTGAAAGGGTTGATCAGTTGATTGTCTGGTCCAGGCTCGATTATTTACAGACGGATGTCATATAGCTGGGGTATTGCTGAGTGCAGCGTTAAACAACAAACAAACAAAACTTCAAAGATCCACTGTCTTTGAAGTTGAGATGCTATAATCACTTTTATTGTTTTAATATAATAAAACACTTTAACCACTATGCTACCTTACCGCCCCTTCGCGGTATTTGAAGGACTTCAATAAAACATATTCTCGGTATGTTAATTTGAGTATATAGAGCATGTTATTTACTTCCTGACAATACTCAATAAACTGTGTTAATCTTTTAAAATTATATCTAAAGCCTTGATTAATAATCTATGTCCGAATACTAAGAAACATATGCTGTACATTTTTTGCACAAACATGTAACATTCTATGTAGACTTGCCAAATCATTCCAAGCTTGAGTAGCCTCTGGGATCTGAGAAGCTGACTAAATCCATATGGAAGCAAAACACAAATGAAAATCAGTAAATAACATCAAAGATATGTGACACAAAAATGCGTCACTTGGTAAATAGTTGTTGTTTACCTGGTTTGAAAATGTTATTTATTTAAATCTGTTCAGGTTTTGTTTTATTCATCCACAATCTGAGAACTATTCATTGAACATATATGGGAGACATTTAAACAAGGTAAGGTGCAGGGGTAGGCAAGAGCAGACACACCCCTTTACGAAGCATACCGCTTCCATATATATACAAAGTTAAACCCACGAAGAAAGGATATATTAAGCTCTCAACAAAAATAATTGTGCCGTGACTAATATTTGTCTTGCAATTAACATTGTTTCACGAATACATAATTATTAAGAAACATTCGTATAACATTTTGCTTACTTTCAGTACACAACCTTTCAAAAATCCTGTGATAGCCTACAGCTTTCCCCTTCCCACTACACACACACATAAACATGCACGCACGCGCACGCACACACCATTCCTACCTTTGAACATGCAGTATCTCACTTGACTAGAAACATTCAGAAAGTCAGCATGTACATAAACATGATAAGTTCCAGATACAAAATATCTACCACTTTATTAATGATGAAGATAGTCTCGTTATTTTACCACAACTGAGAATAGACTTCACACATTGTACCCAGGTGGAGAATCGAACATATTATATCAACGTGGAGAATCGGACATAAACCTTCCACTTGTATTGCCGAAAGCAATTAAAAGGAGATTAATTTAGCTGAACGGCGGTTTATCTGATTCTGAAGACGAGTCTCCACGGGAATCTCCACGGACGACTTCTCCAGTGGCGCATGTGCTTTGCTTGCCTCTTTGTAGTAATAACATCTTCATTACCCCACGTGCAGATGTGTGTCTGAGTTGTGCAATACCTTCTGGGCCTGTTGCCGGGGTCTCGGTGTTCAGTACTGCACGTGTGATGCACCACGCGCTGGCATCGCCTGCTGGGACGCACCAGGAAGTGATGACATCAGAGATCAGTATCTGCGGCGTCACGTCTTTGCCGGCATCATCGGCTGAACCAATATGTTTACGTGAACGTTAAGTGAACGGAATGAGTTAGTCACCTCCGTGATGGGAAGCTTGGGACGATACCTCATACCACGTGTTCACACAATGAAACATACCTCTGAAGCTAGGCTAACATCTAGTATCTGGAATCTAAAACAAAATTATATCAATAAAATAAAAAATTATCCCAAACACTTTCTTCATTTTAAGAAACCCCAGTAATCTAGACTTTAGCTAGATATAGCATTGGGTCTGTTAGATGTATTTGTTTCAGGCTTTGGATGACCGACTATTCCGAATCCAAGGTAATTTAATCTTCTAAGCAAATCTACAATACAATTCTTTTTAGGATCTGAAACTATAACTATAACTCATATGCATATATACATCACATTTCACTGAAAAGAAACATTCTACCATGGTTACGTGAAATACTCGACTTCGATTGGACAATCAATAAAATTAGACGCTATCAATTTGGATTGAACATACGTCTTGTAAATGCGATTGTAAATCTGTTATGATAGAATGAAGGTTAGTCTGTCGTACAGACCCTGAAGCAAATGTATCCAAGAAAGCCCACGCAAGTCTAGAAAATGTGGCAAGTCTAGATTTCCTCAGCTTCAGGGAAGAAAGTCTCAGGGCTCCTTTTAATTATATTATATTATTTTTTACTATGAACTTCTTTTTTCAGTAAAATATGTTCATTTCAGAGACTAGTTGTTAGTCTAAATGGAAGTAAACTTACTGTGTTTGAAAATTAGATGAATGTTAAACCCGAATTGATTGTCTCTAAATTTCCTATGAAACCGAACGTGTTTATCTCTAAATGGCGATCCTATGCGGTTTTTACGGGATGCGAAAGGTCACTCATAGAGCTGGGTAAAGAAATCCAGTTAATAGTATTCTTGACTACTTCAGTACAGCAAATGTTCCAAAGGGTGAAAAGCCATGAACTTAAATTAACAGGTGATAAAGAGCAAGACCAAACAGACTTGTGATACTGCATGTCCCCATGATAGCTACTGTGATGGTAGATTAGTGGCACGCTCCATGTGTTCCTCTCATGAAGTTACTTTAGAAAGAAACTGTTCCTTGGAAGCCTGAACGAGCTGCCACAAGCATGACCATTTCATTCACGGAATTTACACTACAGCACTCAATGGCCCCAGAGTTAGTGAGTGTGTTAACACTGCTGTAAGTCTCACAAAAGACTTTGCCGCTTTTCAAAACGTGTCCTCTGAGCCAGATTCAAGCATATATCATATCATATTTCACAATCACCATGCCGGATCTGAGAAACAGCTTATGGTCAGATCGTTATCATAAAAAAACCAATAAACCACGCACATCTGTCATATTGATATTCTTATCACAAGGCATGTTTTAATTTGTATCATATACCAGGGTCACAAATCAATTCAGTATGATTTCTTTGTTGCAGCTAGTTGAATATTCACTGTTACTGCAACATAAGTTTTAATGTACATTGTAACATTGTCTTTTATGTGGTATATGGTATTCACGAAGGATAAAGTGTTAATGCTTTCTTGCTTTATTGTTATTTCCTGCTTTGATAATATTTTGTAATCTGATCTTCTATGCACTTACATATGTTTTTCCACGAGCGCTCACCATGCAAGCTGGTATACTATATCAACGAAACTGAAATCGGTATGTCATGTTTTTCCATAAAACTAACTAGGCTGTATTGTTACAGAATATTTTCTAGGCTAAAAACAAGCTTTTTTCACGCTCTCATCCAAATTGTTATGGAATGCACGACCTATGACAGCGGGATGTACGGGCATCGCGAGAACGAGATCTCGTTACAGCACGCGCTACGCGCAGCTGTCAGAAGAGCAGCCGATAGTTATCGTCTGCTCGGCGTGAAGACAAGGAAGCTTACTCATTTGCTCTCATTTCCAGGCAGTACAGCTACATTAGCGAGTGCTTGGATATACACCGGACAACACTGGACAAATGTGACAAGGCACCGCCATGAAGGGACCAATACAAATTCTTGTTCTTGGTAAAGAAGGAGTTGGTAAAACTGGTGAGTAACTGTTTTGTTTTTCATTCCCCAAGTTCCTTAATGCCCCTCATGGAGTTTGTATTCCAATTCAGGTCCATGCGCTTTGCCATCACTGAGAGGTTATGGTTTGTTTTTTACCTTTTGTTTCAAAAACATCTGTGTCTTTGCCAATATTGTCCTTTCTTGGAAGAAGCCAAAACAAAATCACTTTTCCATGCAAAATGTCGGAAGGTCATATTCTGTAAAGAAAATAATGAATTTGGTTTAAAGTCAACTTATGTTTAAATGATTATATACTCAATCTAATGAGATTTAAGAGTGTAGCGAAGCCGTCTTTTTATCGGTATGAATGGGAGGTTTCCGACACAATTGGCCTCTTGCTGCTATATTCCCTGATAACGTAAACACTTCACAAACACAACTGTTTATAGATGGGGTATATATCGCATACTTCCTGCTTCTCTGGTTTTCAAGACAGTTGGCAATTACAGGGCTACCGTGCCATCCTTCCGCTTGTCTTCGATTGAACTTAATGCTGGCTCGTTATGTGCGTTTAAACCTTTGGTATGTGGAAAGCCGCTAATCTTCGGTCTAGTTAATGCCCAAGAAGATTTTATTTCCCCTTTTGTGTAAAATTAATTTCGTGGGCAAGTTTGTTCAGCTTCTCAATTCAATTAAATTGATTCCCACTTTGAGTACTACTCATAACCAGAATGGAATATAAAATATATCAAATAACTTGATCAGCTTTCGTGAAGCCAAACCAACCAATTCATATTTAGTCTCTTACACTACCCCCAATGCATAGATTTAATGAAACATTCACAACATTTGATACATAACCCTTTTTGTCCGAAATTCTACCCGTGAAGGTCCGGGTTAGAATATTGATTTTCAATAACCCATGCTTGTAAGAGGCGACTAACGGGATCGGGTGGTGAGGCTCGTTGACTTGGTTGACACATGTCATCGGTTCCCAATTGCACAGATCGATGTTCATGCTGTTGATCACTGGATTTTCTGGTCCAGACTCGATTATTTACAGACCGCCGCCATATAGCTGGACTATTGCTGAGTGCGGGGTAAAACGAAACTCACTCACTCACTAGTCTGAAATTCAGAAAATTGAGGGTTTGTTATTTCCCTTGGGTTCTTTTGAGGAGTTTGTTAACGTTATTAACGACTTTATTTCGGGGACTGTTTGACTTTCCACATAATGTCGGGACTAGTTAATGATTCCATACATACAACGTGACAGTGAAAAGATTTCGTTTTACTTCTTAACGTTGGACTCGGCTTGTGAGCCTAATGGTTTGCATCTGTTATACGCACAGAAAGATTGATTATGCTGTGAGACGTTCTCGCAGTGATAAGGATTAACTAACAACTGGTACATTAGATTTTATCTCTAAGTTGTGGCCTCTGGTTTGAGTCTATTTAACAGTGACCATGGTCTGATGTCTTGTGAGTAAATGAGTGAGATGGGTTTTACGACGCCTTTAGCAATATTTAGGAAATATAACGGCGGAGGTTACAAGAAGTGGGCTTGACACATTGTAATCAATTGGGGAGTCGAACCCGGGTCTTCAGCGTGACGAACGAACGCTTTAATCACCAGGCTACCCCACCGCCCCGCTTCACACTGTACCTATATGGGGAATCGAACTCAGGCCTTCGGCGTGACGAGCAACTGGGCTGGGCTACAGCCGCCCCTACCCCCTAACCACGGGGCTACCCCCGGCCCTTTCTGATAACTTGTAAAAATATTTCTAACAAAAAAATTATCCGTTACAAATTTCTCTATTAATGGAGATATCAATTACTGTATGCGAGAGAAATATATCACAATGAGTTTCCACAAGTAACATCTATCAGATCATGATCATTTTCAAAAGAGTTATTAAAATTAAGTATATATAAACACACAATACCATATAAAATATATTTCGACACAATGAATTCTGACCGAGAACAGAGCAGATTGGTTTCAAACTTAAGTTAGTAACTATTCTCAATGGCATGGAAATCAAGGAGAAATATGCCCAACGCAAACGACATGTAAATAGTCGAGAATGTATCAGACAAAGCAGACAATGATACGAAGTGCAACGTGTACAGTGAGTGTGTGAGTTTTACACCGCCTTTAGCAATATTCCAGCAATATCACGGCGAGGGACACCAGAAATGGGCTTCACACATTGTACCCATGCATGGGGAATCGAACCCGGGTCTTTGGCAAGACGAGCGAACACTTTAACCACTAGGCTACCCCACCGCCCCGCAACGTATACAGTAGTGTGGGGTCAGGTTCCGATACTCAGTCACCAAGGTACCAGTCGGACCGCCCAATGAATGACGTCGCAAAGCCACAAGCATGGGTTCCTGGAACCCAGTCTAACCCCGTACACGACGGGGGCGGTGGGGTAGCCTAGTGGTTAGGGCGTTGGCTCGTCACGCCGAAGAGCCGGGTTCGATTCCCCACATGGGTACAGTGCGTGAAGTTCATTTCTGGTGTCCCCCGCCGTGATATTGCTGGAATATTGCTAAAAGCGGCGTAAAACTAAACTCACTCACTCACTCACCGTACACGACGGGTCACAACCAGCTAAACGTCTTCAATGTATTGATTAGAAGGTCAGAGGCATCTCTCATCACCATGAAGTAGGCGGGGAATATAATACATTTTGATAACAATATATCTTATATATCTATCTTGTTATAGAACCGCAACGTACGATCAGATGAAGTGTTTACTTTTAACACAAAACCGGCGTGTTAACTTTACGAATAGGTTTATCCAGTTACTTGGACAGTCCGGGTTCGATTCCCTCACGGATATATTGATGTAAGTGCTACCAGTTATACACAATGAAATAGTAATTTCTAAATATATCAACCCGGACATCTTCCGCTGAAACTAATCATGTTTGTTAATGTCGCTCGGTAAATTACGATTTCAACCTTTATACCTGCCCATGAGATATATACTTCTATTATGTGTAGCGCCGGGTGGAGTCCAGGGGCTCCTTTCATGAAGCAACCTTTACTAAGGTTAACCTTAACTCCCATTCTTTAACACTGCACTAAGGTAACCTTAGTGCCTTACGATCACCTTAGCGCTTTGTGAAAGGAGGCCCAAGACTGATAGGCTACTAGAGATGACTTATACGAGGATAACATGAATTCAATATGTGACATGACCGATTGTGGCGCATCGTACCAGGATACCGTGGATATATGCCCTTGTTATCAACCACTGGTTTGTCTGTCTCAGATTCGACCATCATCCGACTGAGATGAGTGAGGAAATATAGTTGAATGCGGCTTAAAACCAGCAATTTGTCATCTCAAAACCAGATGCTTCCTTCTCTAACATAGCTGTTGTTCGAAATCATTAACTGGAAAAGAATAAAATATCTGTTTTATATTTGTACTCATAAGTAGCACTTTCCACATCTGAACCAATTTGAACATTGCTCAAACTGTTCATGCTAAAATGGCAATTATTTGTCGAAACAGCATTACAGCCGTACATACCACTGACCTCTGAATTTTGGTTAATTGAGATGGAGTGATTTGATGGAATTTCACCGCACGTGGTTGATATTGACGCTAGTTACGTTATCCCCTGCATTGCTGTTTTTATACGTCATAACGCACCTCTCCGAGACACGGCGGCCAGGCCAAATGGCGTTTCTGCCAGAATAATTTGATTATAACATGTTCATTATAGCAGCGTCGGGAAGTTAACAGACAGAAAATCGCTCTACGCGTTTACTGATATAAATGCATCATTTAAGAGCGAATAGATTGAAGGTTGGTCGAATTTCAAAGTTTCGTGTCTATGCCAAATAAAAGGGCGTTCCGAAGTACGGTTAAATGATGGACATAAAATTGGGTAATGTCATTTGAATGAGGATAGATGCATTAGCGAACGATATTAAGGAACGATATTCAAGTTCTGTTAAAACTGAAACCAGTTGAGCGTTACTGGGCTTGGGCAAATTGGTACATCAAAGCTTTCTTTTGTCACATAAATAATAAAGATATTCCTTTAGATCTTAGAAAATGTTGATGCGTTTTCAGCTTTTTTCAAAATTTATAGCATGTTTTTTATGCGAGTTGGGTTTGTTTTCTTATCAAAGGGATTAAGGCTCACACAATTGGCGGCCCCGGTAAGTTGGAGCCAATCATTCAGTTCCAATTAGTTCGTCAGGTAACTCCAGTGTGCTGTATGCCAAACTGTCAGTGTAATGATTACACATCATATCACACCTGTTACACACAGGCATTATCTCATTTTAACAACCACTCGACCTGGCCCATAGTTATAACTATTTCCGTATGCATGAATATGGTATAAGTGAGTGAGTTCTACGCCACCTTTAGGAATGTTTCCGTAGCATCATGATAGCCAAGAATGGGTTGTACTCGTTGTAACTATGTTGGTAATCGAACCCAGATCCCTGGGGACAAGTGAACGCCTCAACCACTAGGCTACCCCACCGCCCCTACGTTGTACAACGGGATATCCAAGAGTATGATCCGATTCGCATATCACTGTGTTTTTGATATCTGGATATTTGCTGGATTCATTTAATACAGTTGGGAACTGGCATGTCAATTCTGGGATAGAAATGGTCTTGCGTGACTATGCTTGTACTTTAATTTGATATTGCATGTTACGGGGTCGTGTTGGGCGAACTGGCTAAAGCGCCAGGCTAGTGATCCAGCGAGCTTGCGGTGACGGGATCGAGCCCACCTGTGACCGGGTGTAAAAACTTTGGAGTCAACTTTGTGTGCAGACTCTTTCAGTGTTGTCACAACCCCTAGTGTACAGTACACAACCCTGTGCACTTAAAAGAACCCACAAATCCGTTGGTATATGACCAGATGGTGGCCGCATGAATACGTGCAAACACCTAGTTGCGGGTACAGCAACGTGCAGTAAACTTGGACAAAGTACTGTGACTGTGTCCCAGTCCACCCAGCTGTGAATGGGTACCTCGTAAGGATGGGAAAGCCACAATAACTCGGTGTGCCTAGTGGCTGCAAGAGTTGTATGATCCCCAGGGAGTTGAGATTGACGACGTGCCGTTGAGATTGACATCCAATGATCTAGGGAATTAACAAAGCGCCTTTGAGCAGCTGAGCTGGATATCGGCGCTATACAAATGTTAGTATGTATGTAATGCAGTCGCACATGCAGTGCTTGCATTGTATAGAAGAGGTATTGCGTTCCGGTGAAAAGTAAACTGACATACAAAAAAACATACACACCTGGTATTTGGGGATTATTTTCCCCCAAACAATGTAAATATTTTGAAATGTGTTCGGATTGTGACTTACTTGTCATAAACATTTAGAAAATGATCCCAAAGCACCATGTATGTTTTTCTTTCATATGTGACTTATAAAAGGTACTTATAAGGGTTAAAAGTATATTGAAATTAAATATAGAATTGCAAAAGTCTCTAAGGTAATAATTAATAGTTCAAATCATAATTTCTAAAAAATGAGGGGTAGCCTAGTGGTTAAAGTGTTGGCTCGTCACGCCGAAGACCCGGGTTCGATTACCCACATGGGCACAATGTGTGAAGCCCATTTCAGGTGTCCCCTGCCGTGATATTGCTGGAATATTCCTAAAAGCGGCGTAAAACTAAACTCAGTCAGTCAGTCATCCTGTGCACTGGTTAACAACTCATCCCAGGGTTAGATACCCAACCGGGAATACTGTTGGCCAGACTATGTTTACCCCGCCGTTAACAGGTCTAATTGGACCACATCTCAGGCAAATCACTTCCATAATAAATCCACGGCTGTTGTATGGGACCTCTGATAGTGCGGGAATTCTGACGATGTACGCGGAGACACTACGGGTTGGTGCTCCCTACTGTAGCGAGAGCCAATAAACATTCCAAGCATTGTCAAGCTCCTGATGGACCTTACGGGTGTCTGCGGAAAGAGGCCATCCAGTGCATGGCCTTCACAGTAATTGTATGCACATTAAATGGGTGTAAATGGACATGTTCATTAGTGATGATATACTAGTATACGTCTACAGCCTGCATGTGCTCGAGGAGTCCATAGAGGGGAAATTCCAACAGTTGGTGATACCTACCAAGGAACCATGTTAACTGTTGAGAACGGGGATTCCATTGGTTTTGGTTCGACGTGATGACAAAATTTGCTTTCCTAGCATTCCAGCACCCTCACTCCAACCCCACCCACCTACCTCCCCGGAGAGGTATTCACAACCCTTTGAGAATGTTCTTAATCTTTTCTGTAATTTTAAGGGCGACTTGGTAACCACTGGTGTTTAATGTGTTCGCCCGTTACGCCTAGGTCCTGGGTTCGATTACCCACATGGGTCTAATGTGTGGAGCGCAGCCAACGTGTCTCCCGTCTTCATATTGCAGGGATATTGTTAAAATCTCAATCACTTTTTTGAATATATATTTTATGATCTAGTCTCTTTTTGCAAGGGGGCGGTGGGATAACCTGATGGTAAGACCCGGGTTCGATTCCCCACATGGGCCCAATGTGTGAAGCCCATTCCTGGTGTTCCCCGCCATGATATTGCTGGAATATTGCTAAAAGCGGCGTAAAATCATACTCACTCACTATTTTTCCAAAACCTGTGCAAAATGGTCACTATGTAATTAGGGTAATCATGGACTGATGAACATGGTGCAGTTTGATTATAAATAGACAAGGCGGTGCTTGACTGCCAATTTGCCAAAATATACTCCTCAAAGAATGATATTCACATCTTTGTTTTCCCTTACGTTTAGATTTCCACTGGTCCATCCATATACTCCATCGAAAACTCTGTTTTGTCTTTAACGACCACTGGAATCTGTTTCGGTAGAAAATCAAAACTGATCGAATGGGGGCAGTTTGATGATTCTGATTGTGTGAGTGAGTGATTTTATTTATAGTGGAATGACAACAGTGCAGAAACACAGTAATAGCTTAAGAAATGGTTGACCCTTGATCATCATGTTTGTAATGGCGTTAACCCTACCAGCAAGGGTTGTGATGTTGCTTGGAGCCACACGCTACGGAGACAAACGATATATTTGGCATTGTTGCCTTAACTGTCTGGTTATACATGTATGATTTATGTTATCTATCAGCTGATTTTCATATTTGTGATCTTTTTGTCCCCCTTGAAGTTGTTTCCTTTCACTGGACATATGAACACTGATGCCAAATCGGGCCTCCCACGATAAGGTCACATATACTGCAACACGATAAACTATATAAACCTTGTTAAAAACAACAAAAACAAAAACCTTTTTTTTCTTTCTCACTAACATACAACGTGCAAACATTTCAAACTTCCCACATAGTATTGCTCTAACGAACAGGTGCCAGTCGATATACAATGCAGTTCCAATGATTTAAGAACACACATGTCGTTAAAATATAGACCTTACATATATAGACTGTTGACATTATTCTCAGAAACATCATCAGATTTACCGGTCATCCGATATCCTTCACGCTGCTGACCTGATTCCAGAAAACAATTTAAGACGCCCCAAGCTTATTTTCCTGTTTGTTAATCTCGAGGATGGTGATGGATGAAAACCCCAATCCAGGTTAACTAATCTTCCTTCCCTTTTTTATCTGATTTAATCCCCCACAATGCATCAGTCGGCGGCTATACTGACGCTCCATCTTGAAATCTGATGTGCTGTCGACGGTTCAGATTTCCCTGTCGGCTCTAATTATTGCCTACCTCCTGACTAATTAGCCATGCATTTTGACCCAGGTGGGGCGTTCTTTATCTTTCACGCTTCTTTCAGCTCTGGTGGTCCGATTCTTAACGCGCAGGTATCTCACCGAGTTTGCGCAACTGGAGGAAGTGACGTACGAACGGCCTGTATATGTGGACGACCGCCAGGTGACGCTGAGAATTACTGACGTCAGCGGAAAGGTGAGTTAATCCTTTATTAGTTTCATCAGTTTAACTGTTCATTTTAACGTTATCAAGAAATCGCAGGTTTGACCTCTACATTACATTCAATACATCTAGACTTCTAAGGATTCCCAGACCTGCGTGGATTATTTTTCAATTTCATATTCCATTTGAGGGTCTTTTTTTTTCATGGCAGACAAAGTGCGCTGTGTCCCAATTTTGCACAGAGACTTCAAATATGGGCGTCATATACGAAAACATATTTTCTTTGTGGACATTGTGAATGCAAAAATATAAGCCATTGTTTGCCAACTCTTTCTCTTTGACAACATGCCAACAACCCGTGAAGATCCGGGTTAGAATTGATCTTCAGCAACCCATGCTTGTCGTAAAAGGCGACTAACGGGATCGGGTGGTCAGGCTCGCTGACTTGGTTGACACATGTCATCGTATCCAAATTGCGTAGATCGATGTTCATGATGTTGATCACTGAATTGTCTGGTCCAGACTCGATTATTTACAGAAAAATTTACATGGCAAATTCAAAGTAATGGGCATCTGTTAATGTAACCTTTTATAAAATGAACACATTTTGACTCAACGTTTAGATCACCTAGACAACAAACGAAGACTTTAATAAATAAATAAATAAATTAATTATGCATAGGGTTTGTTAGTCCCAACTGCGCAGATCGATGCTTATGTTGTTGATCACTGGATTGTCTGGTCCAGACTCGATTATTTACAGACCGCCGCCATATAGCTAAAATATTGCTGAGTGCGGGGTTAAACACATCAACCAACCAATAGTTCAGAAGCTCTCCTGGACTCCAAGGGTTAATGTGATTTGACTTCCGTACCAGCGTGGGCTCAGTCTCATTCTGCTACATCGACCAATCAAGGCATTTGTTTTACAATATTGTATATATGTACCGAACAACACCTGTTTCCTTCTAAAATAACCCCGAGCTGCCAAAATAACTCATCTTTGTGCATCATGACTCCAAGGGTCCCTTTGAAGGCTTTGAACACAGATCACTGGAGCTTTTATTACAAACAGCTCTGGCGAAATTGCACCAGATACGCCCCATTATTGGCAGAGATTGTCACAATTTGTTCTTGGTTTACGTGAAGTACGTAGTGGATGCTCTATACGTTGATGTGAAACACCAAAAGAGTTATTTGCCCTTGACCTTGCTAACCTGTAAGACCCTGGAAGGTCTTTAAGCTAACCTGTTGTATAACTGTAATTATTGTAACGTTGTTATTAGGTTTGAGGTGAGGTGAAATTGGGTTTAACGTCGTGTTTGAGAATATTTCGCTCATATGACGACGTGCATGCGTGTGTATGTGTAGGTGCGGCTGCTTGTACTAGCCCAGACTTAAGCTGGTTTTATAGTGCTAGCCCACTGAGATACCACGCCGCAGTGAAGCATGAATACCCAACTCAGACACATTATACTGACTCCGAGCCGACCAGTCCTTGTTGTACCCAGTGATGCCGAACGCCAGGCAGGGACCAACAAGTACCATATTTTAACGTCTTTTGGTATGACGCGGTCTGGGATCGAACCCGCGACCTTCCGCTCTCCGGGCGGACGCTCTTACCACTACACCACGGAGGCGGTCTATTAGGTTTGAAATACTGTTGAAGATAAGATAGTGAGAAGAAGCATTTAGCAATATAGCAGCTATCACGACGGGGACATTGACATGGGCTCCGCGTGTACACATGGGATTCGAACCCAGACCTTGAGTGACAAGCTATCGCTTCAACCACATTAGGCTATCCCAGCGTCGCCTTTACAGCATGGCATGCAGCCGTCTGAACTCTGACTCCCCGTGTGTACCAGGACAACCCTTGCATCAGTGTGCATTTACACGCGGCAACGCACGTGCAGCGTCCTGCATTAGAAGTATATTATGTCATCATGATTTCGTATTTAATTCCACAAAGTGTTTTCGCTCAAAGAAGAACGAAGTGTTTCACGGCCTTTGTGCATTCATCAAGCTATAGGGGCGGTGGGGTAGCCTAGTGGTTAAAGCGTTCGCTCGTCACGCCGAAGGCCCGGGGTTCGATTCCCCACATGGGTACAATGAGTGAAGCCCATTTCTGGTGTCCCCCGCCGTGATATTGCTGGAATATTGCTAAAAGCGGTGTAAAACCCAACTCACTCACTCATTAAGCTATGCTGTAATGCCTGTACGGGAATAAGACGAGCTGGTGACGAATCGGGCCTTGTACGGCCATTTGGAATTGTGGATAGGGATAAACACATTCAACAACCTTTTGAAAGGTGATAGTTATACTGAAGAAGTTATACGGTTGAAATGTAACTGTTAATCGTAGATTATGTGTAACTGAGGTAAGTGAAATTCATTTAACACCGCTTTTGACAGCACCTTTTGCAGCAATCTCGATCGGGATGTTAGTCAAAGTACTCATTTGGAGAATCGAACCCGTGGGGCGCGAACGCTTTAACCAGTAAGCTACCCCAGCGTTCGGAGTAATTATACCCACGGGGAGCCTAGTGGTTAAAGCTTTGGACCTAGAATTGTTTCCCGTGATAAGTTAACTGTACAATGTAAACATGAACGTAAAACACGTAAAGCCAGGCGAGGAGTTGTTTTGGAAACAAGTGAAAACCCATCACCATTGTTTGAAATTATTGTTTAGAAAAAGTGCCGAGGGAGAATATGTCCTGAGAATCTCATACATATAAGACTCGACGAATAGAGATCGGTGGACACTTTATGTATGTGACCTGACTGAACGTGTATCCTCGTACCCCGACGGCGTGGGATAGCGGTCATGACATCAACCATTGTTTGGCTGGCATGTTCTCGGTTGACGAGCCTAGCGATGAAATGAATGGAGATTTTTTGTTGATTTAATCTTTACTTGTTCAGGTAGCATGAAGTAGTGCAGACATAACTGTTTGGTACTGAAGACTTCAGACGGAGCTCAGGGGACATCCATTGGTTGCAACTAAAGTTCTGAAAGTATCAATGTACAGGTTGTCAGTCTTTGCACACAAGGGGCACGCCTAACCTGGTCATCTCGAGAGCCACAGTTTGCGTCCATTAAGAGTGCTTGAAGTCTATGATAGGTGTTCGTGTCCCAGTTCGGTATCTTCTAGGTTTGTCAGCAATTAAACCCGTGTAGCTTTCACTGAAGCGGGAAATCGCGCAGCCTTGAGTCACACCAAACTTTTCTCTCACATTCGTGATTACGGCAGTCTACTGGCAAGAACACGTGTTTAAATATAATGCAATTCAGGTATCCGTATTGTCATACGTATTGCGATATATTGGGAGCTAGAATGTGAGTGACACTTATTGTACGCGCATATCCTATTTGTACAGATCCTGTACAGACTATCGCACTAAAAATAAAAGGTAAAAATAAAATGGTAACAGCAATTCATTTTTAGAGTATGTAAGATATGCCATTTTGTCAATTTATTATTAAGGGAAACATCATTGTGAATAAAAGCCCATGTTGATTTTAACTTATACCATAGAGATTATTACAAACCGTATATATCTTTTCCAAATACATGTATAGCGGTTCTCAGAAGGAATGTTGCATTACCTTGTTTGAAAAGCCTATTGCTGTGTACTGCTGAACCAGTGCAGTCCTACCCGTGGAGATCCGGGTTATTGATCTTCAGCAACCCATGCTTCTCGTAAGAGGCGACTAACGGGATCGGGTGGTCAGGCTCGCTGACTGGGTTGACACCTGTCATCGCATCCAAATTGCTTATATCGATGTTCATGCTGTTGATCACTGGACTGTCTGGTCCAGATCCAAACTCACTCACTCACTCACTCACTCAGTGCTGTTCTATCCGTGATACCACTGGAATACTTTTGAAAGCGGTGCTACACAAAACTCACTCACTCACTCTTTTCATACATCCGCTGTATCCGTGAGTTCTGTACTAGTCAAACAATATTTCAGCAACATTATGGATGACACCAGCAACATTATGGATGACACCAGCAATCGGCTCACAAAGTTTACCTGTATGACTGACTGACTGAGTTTGGTTTTACGCCGCTTTTAGCAATATTCAAGCAACATCACGGCGGGGGGACACCAGAAATGGGCTTCACACATTGTGCCCATGTGGGGATTCGAACCCGGGTCTTCGGCGTGACGAGCCAACGCTTTAACCATTAGGCTACCTCACCGCCCCTTACCTGTATGAGGATTAGATTCCGTCCATTCGACGAGCCACTTCTCAATCACCCCTATTAATCACAAGACCCTATTAATGTTGAAGAAACCGTTTCTTGTATATTTTAAATCTTTAAAACTGGGAAAAGTGGGCCCATTTCACACGAGGACGGGACCGCCTCCGTGGTGTAGTGGTTAGAGCGTCCGCCCGGAGAGCGGAAGGTCGCGGGTTCGATCCCCGACCGCGTCTTACCAAAAGACGTTAAAATATGGTACTTGTTGGTCCCTGCTTGGCGCTCGGCATTAATGGGTACAACAAGGACTGGTCGGCTCGGAGTCAGTATAATGTGTCTGAGTAGGGTATTCATGCTTCACTGCGGCATGGTATCTCAGTGGGCTAGCACTATAAAACCAGCTTCAGTCTGGGCTAGTACAAGCAGCCGCACATACACATACACACGCATGCACGTCGATCGTCATATGAGCGAAATATTCTCAAGCACGACGTAAAACCCAATTTCACCTCACCTCACCTCACGAGGACGATGGGGTAGCCTAGTGGTTAAATCGTTCGCTCGTCACGCCGAAAACCCGGGTTGGATTCCCCACATAGGTACAATGTGTGAAGCCCATATCTTGTATTCCCCACCGTGATTGTGCTGAAATATTGCTGAAAGCTGCGTGAAACCATACTCCCTCACTCACCCATTTCACACGGCATCAACACTACACATGACAACAGCGGTTGCGGGCCGCATACCACTGTGTTTACTTCCTACACTGGGATACAAGCCATTGAAGTACCTGCTACAACAGAATCCATTGTTAGCTTACATGAATCCGAATACTTGTTCTTGCTAGAAATGATTTATTTCGGGGCAAAGTGACACTGGATGCTTATGTGCACATTTTGAAGATAATTGTTTTAGTTTTCATCATCATTGTCTTCGCTCGATTTACGCAGAGTGATATAATTGGGTGTCAAAAGCGAATCTAAAGTGCAGATGGAATTTTAGTAAATACACATATGGACACGTGCTTGCGTGCTGATACCAGTGAAACCAAATATGGTGACGGAATGCCATGTTTTTTACGTTGTCTCGCACCTTCCTAATTCCTCTCTATTTAAAGTTGTTATATATTGGCAAGATAGCGTTGTTCTTTTTTGTTTCTACAACGTATGTCAATCACTGCCGCGGAAGGTAAACACCCCGCTCCCCATGCAGTCAGCAGGTGCTTGCAGTGATGAAGTAGACACGTGACATGCCATTGTCTATCATCCATGTTCATCTTCTGCGGCGGGGGGATGGGCTCGGCACACCAAAGGCCGGGGCTCGACTCCCCACCAAACACAAAGTTCTCGGTTGTTTTCTGCCCTCATATTGCATTCATCAGGCCGATGACCCGGGTTTGATTCCCCAAATGGGTACAATGTGTGAAGCCCATTTCTAGTGTCCCATGATAGTGCTTGAATATTGTTAAAAGCGGTTAAAACCCATTCATTCAGTAATTCACTCGTCATATGGCTTAAATATGTCTAGAACCATGCAGCAGATATAACATGTTATGACATTTTTGTCTAAATGTGAAGCGATAGGTAGAACCGCCTCCGTGGTGTAGTGGTTAAAGCGTTCGCCCGGAGAGCGGAAGGTCGCGGGTTCGATCCCCGACCGCGTCATACCAAAAGACGTTAAACTATGGTACTTGTTGGTCCCTGCCTGGCGCTCGGCATTGATGGGTACAACAAGGACTGGTCGGCTCGGAGTCAGTATAATGTGTCTGAGTGAGGGTATTCATGCTTCACTGCGGCATGGTATCTCAGTGGGCTAGCACTATAAAACCAGCTTCAGTCTGGGCTAGTACAAGCAGCCGCACATACACATACACACGCATGCACGTTGTCATCTGAGCGAAATATTATCAGCACGACGTTAAACCCAATTTCACCTCACCTCACCTCACGAGGACGATGGGGTAGCCTAGTGGTTAAATCGTTCGCTCGTCACGCCGAAAACCCGGGTTGGATTCCCCACATAGGTACAATGTGTGAAGCCCATATCTTGTATTCCCCACCGTGATTGTGCTGAAATATTGCTGAAAGCTGCGTGAAACCATACTCCCTCACTCACCCATTTCACACGGCATCAACACTACACATGGCAACAGCGGTTGCGGGAGCGAAACCTTTCCGACCGCATACCACTGTGTTTACTTCCTACACTGGGATACAAGCCATTGAAGTACCTGCTACAACAGAATCCATTGTTAGCTTACATGAATCCGAATACTTGTTCTTGCTAGAAATGATTTATTTCGGGGCAAAGTGACACTGGATGCTTATGTGCACATTTTGAAGATAATTGTTTTAGTTTTCATCATCATTGTCTTCGCTCGATTTACGCAGAGTGATATAATTGGGTGTCAAAAGCGAATCTAAAGTGCAGATGGAATTTTTAGTAAATACACATATGGACACGTGCTTGCGTGCTGATACCAGTGAAACCAAATATGGTGACGGAATGCCATGTTTTTTACGTTGTCTCGCACCTTCCTAATTCCTCTCTATTTAAAGTTGTTATATATTGGCAAGATAGCGTTGTTCTTTTTTGTTTCTACAACGTATGTCAATCACTGCCGCGGAAGGTAAACACCCCGCTCCCCATGCAGTCAGCAGGTGCTTGCAGTGATGAAGTAGACACGTGACATGCCATTGTCTATCATCCATGTTCATCTTCTGCGGCGGGGGGATGGGCTCGGCACACCAAAGGCCGGGGCTCGACTCCCCACCAAACACAAAGTTCTCGGTTGTTTTCTGCCATCATATTGCATTCATCAGGCCGATGACCCGGGTTTGATTCCCCAAATGGGTACAATGTGTGAAGCCCATTTCTAGTGTCCCATGATAGTGCTTGAATATTGTTAAAAGCGGTTAAAACCCATTCATTCAGTAATTCACTCGTCATATGGCTTAAATATGTCTAGAACCATGCAGCAGATATAACATGTTATGACATTTTTTGTCTAAATGTGAAGCAAAATGCTACTCAAACCTACCCATAGGTGTAAACGTCCGTATCTTAAAATCTCACAACATTTGTATTTCAGACACTGAATGTCAGGGTAAATGTCTCTCATAGAAAATACACTCATACCCTTACTGGACCGATACATTAACACTTTGGGTTCGATAGGTAGAACCGCCTCCGTGGTGTAGTGGTTAAAGCGTTCGCCCGGAGAGCGGAAGGTCGCGGGTTCGATCCCCGACCGCGTCATACCAAAAGACGTTAAACTATGGTACTTGTTGGTCCCTGCCTGGCGCTCGGCTTTGATGGGTACAACAAGGACTGGTCGGCTCGGAGTCAGTATAATGTGTCTGAGTGAGGTATTCATGCTTCACTGCGGCATGGTATCTCAGTGGGCTAGCACTATAAAACCAGCTTCAGTCTGGGCTAGTACAAGCAGCCGCACCTACACATACACACGCATGCACGTTGTCATCTGAGCGAAATATTATCCAGCACGACGTTAAACCCAATTTCACCTCACCGATAGGTAGTTCAATGAGTTCATTGTGCTTGGCACAGACATAGATAAATGGTGTACATCATTAGATTTTTTATGTTCCGAAAAACACTAGAACCTTGTCCTCACTCACTCGACACAATGTAATTGGGTTCGCTGGTGTGTGTTTCAGTCGGGCACCTGCCAACCATTATATTGGGGTTCACAAGGTAACACGTGGATTTACATGTTCCAACATGGTATACGTGCACTGGTTGATGAATAGCTTCCTCATCTGGTGCATCACGCCAGGTCTGATACAGAGGCGGATGGCATGGACATATTCACATGATGAATGCTACAAGTACTTAAAAACTACCACACATCCTAAGCAATATATTTGACAATCGCGAATTTCTCTGATAAAGTGTGGTCATGTTGGAACAAACTGACCTGTACTTGAGGATCTCTCTTAGAATTAATTTCGTTAGTTTTTTTCTCATTTCTACCTCCTTAGCGATTAGACATATTACTTTTAATTACAGTCAGATTATTTAAAACGTGTCATTAATATTCGTAATGGGGATTTAAACTGTGAAGTTTAAGTGCACTCCTTCTAATCATTAACTTTGGGGACACGGCGGGTCAAACGGGCTGAAATTCGTTCTCCAGCGTCCTTCCATAAGGCAAATACAGGCTACCCATAGTTTAGGACATCCGACCACTACAAATAACCACAACTCTTACGACCACAACTGTGAATTTGCTGTTCGTTGGGTCGATTCCCAGTTCCGCCCTCTGCGATCCGTGGTGTGGGTGAACCATAGCCAAACGTCTTGGTTGTACCTAACCGGTGTCGTTTCGGTTTTTCGTTCTAAATGACCAAAGGCGCCATATTAAAAGAAAATATTAATCCAAAAACATTTGTTGTTGACGCTAGGTTCCGAGCGCGCAAGTACTGAGTCGTAGCAAAGATTTAACTTTTATCCTATTTGTATGCATTTGTCTGGGGTTCTCTTTCAGATCCTGGAGCGACGCTCGTCTTCGAAGGAAATATTTTCTAAAGTTGATGCAGTTGTGGTTGTCTACTCCATCACAGACAGACAGAGCTATGACGTCGCAGAGAACATTGTGGATTGGCTCAAGCGTGACCGGAAGTCCAACCCCAGTCTACCGGTGTTGGTGCTGGGGAATAAATGTGATATGGACCACCTGAGGTAAAGAATGTACAAATCCCCTAAACTATATAGATACACTTAGCAGTATATATGTTTTATGTCAGCGTTATTTCCCCAACGAAGTTGAGAGTGTCTCCATTTACGGAAATAATTCCACACTGACGTCACTCTTTGATACCATGAAAGCATCCATTCACAAGGTAAATTTATGAAAGTGGACTCTCACATTGGTGAGTGAGTGAGTGAGTTTAGTTTTACGCCACACTCAGCAATATTCCAGCTATATGGCGGCGGTCTGTAAATAATCGAGACTGGACCAGACAATCCAGTGATCAACAGCATCAGCATCGATCTACGCAATTGGGAACCGGTGGTCAACACATGTCAACCAAGTCAGCGACCCTGACCACCCGATCCCGTTAGTCGCCTCTTACGACAAGCATGGGTTACTGAAGGCCAATATTCTAACCCAGACCATCACGGGTTCTCTCACACTGGTAATTGGTACGGACGCAATATTTGGGATGTATTACACAAAACCTCACTCAAGGTTGTCCAATAATGAAATCAAACTAACCAGTCTCTTTGTTAAACGCATCATTACAATTCAATCATTGAAGTATTGGCGTAGGGATGGACATGCATCCTCACTGGTTTTCATTGATCCAGTTATATAATCCGACTGAGGTTCAATACGACATCCATGTTTGCTCCATGTATATCCATGATATACGGAAATGGCCATGTCTTGGACATATCATATAGATTACACATAGGATATGTATCGGTCTTGACACGAGTGAGTGTTATGATTTGATTTATCAAATCTTCTTCTTAAATTCACTCACTACTCAATCAACCATACATTTCAAAATACCGACATGAGAGAACGATATCTGCCGAAACAAACTTCCAAAAGATGTAAAAAGGCAGTCCCTGGATGCTGTGAGGTCGTCTTTCTCAAACGAGCCGAAATGATGATTAATCTAAACGTCAAAACATCATGTTTTTAGTTGTTTTCTTAGCTGCCTTCAAAATATTTTAGATATGTAAAGCAAATATATTCATGCAAAACATCGGAAGGTCTGTCATAACAACGATGCTAATATCCATGTTATAACATCCGTTATCACACGTCCAGCACACGCCGTGTGTTGTATACAGCATGCTCATGATATAGGTGTCCTTTGTTCACAGGGTGTTATCTCGGTCGCTCAACAACTTCGATAGCGAGTACCAAGGCGTCGTCTTCCTCAGCACGGAGTGTTCAGCGTGCGAGGACTCCGACGGCGTTGTCGATGCATTCCACAGCCTCATCAGAAAGGTCAGTATAAGCATTCGGGGCAACTCGGCTTTTTCCGTTAGCTACATAATATTTCTACTGACACCAGTATTTTAGTGCTATACCGTGATGTCAGTGCAAACCAACCCGAAAACAAATATCACTCGACCTAACCTGCGGAGCCAAAGAGAAGTATACAGCTATGTTTGCTAAAACTGAAATAAACAGGAAATGGTTTTATTCGATGGTGATGTATTTCTGAATTCAAACGCATGTCAGAGGCGAGAATCCATGTCAATGAGCATAATCAGAACAAGTGACTGTTTTCAGCCAAGGAATGTTTGTAAAAATGTTTGTTTTAATTGGATTAAATTTTCAAGTGTGTACTTTCTTTTGTAGTTCAATTTGAGAAGGTTTTTCCTCTGAAATTAAGTTATTTTGCCCGATTTTGTTGTCTACTATGATAGTCACGTGATCAAGTGCAACTACAGAACCTAGTCTCCTCAATGCTGAATGAGTACAGAGGGTGAAAAACAGTAATAAATAGGTCAATTCATTGAGATGGAGGCAGGGGCTTGTAATGTATTTCCGGAAATAGAGACCTTGGTACCGATCCACAAAACCTTCGAAGAGCTACGGCATTCATAAGTCTATGAAAAACTATTGAGTTACGACATGTCGTAACGTTGCGAACTCTTTGTGGAGAGGAAGCGGCAGACATCGGTATAGTGGGAGGGACGTGGATGCACTGTAAGAATAATTAAACTTTTCTGCACTTCTGTAATCATTACATACATGTTGAAGATATGATTGTGTAAATCGTACCTTCGATTTTTGCGTTAATGATTAGAGAGGAGATAAATGAACTGAAAACGTTTTTATTGTACACCCCTGGATGAAACGTTTCCCCTGCTCTCTGCATGGACACACTCTTAACTACATTGGGGTAGTATATAGTATGGGTGTCATTTCCAGACATCTTTGTCATTACTTCATTTCTTCCAGTGGGGGAAGATCAAAACAAGGCCTATGCAAGTCATAACCACACATTGTTAGACAAAATGTGAAAAGATATTAAGTTTTGTCTATTTGTATTGATAAATAATGCTCTCGTCTAGATGAGGTTATCGACATTTTAAACATCAGTTGGTTGTTAATACACACTGAAAAATGTTATTGTTTCCTATCATCTGACAAGGTCATTTCCAACTAAATTGTCAATAATATTCACGTGTTCATTCTCAATATGGCACCATGACTTCTTTCTCCCAGAAACAACACAAACAACACCCAGAGTTGAAGAGTTGTTCGAGAATTCTCGGTTATCGTAACAACAACCCAAATCATGGTTGTTTTCACAAAGATTCCTTTCTCAATTATATTTGTTGACGGAGCTGCGAACTGCTACATGTAATTATCTTCCATGGATTAAATGCTTCAATTACCGTGCAATAACTGGTTGACAGGGAAATCTGCTTCCTGGAAGTGTGCCGTTCACTGATACACAGTGCCTCCCTCCTCTAACACAAGCCACAGATAGGTATTTCTCTTGCCTCAGTCCAAGTAAATCAGGCATCGTCTTTGAGAGCAAATAAACAGATGAGGCTGGTGTGGTGCTGAAGTACCGCATGGGTAAGGACAAGTACAGATTTGTTGTTAATGGTTCGTTACCGACTTCCGCCGAAAATACAGAACCAATTCCGACAACAGAGGGCGCTATCAGCAAAGCGTTAACGGGAAATCCCAAACTTTCTCCCCGCAATGTGTTTGTAAAATCTAGCGCACTGATTGATACCAATGCTTGTTTGGCGTCTTTAAATTTCACTTAAGTGACTAACACTTCAGTGTGTATATGTCTAGACAATCCAAGGCGATGGGAGAGTGATAAACGACACTCACTCGAAATGCTTTGACAAGTATTTGATTTCCTGTATAGGTGCAAATGTGTCCAATGATGACGTGAAGAGTGTACGTGAGTGTCTCCTTGGTCTGTCTGCTTCATATACCGGCACAAGGTGCACCATATACCTGTACAAGCACGTGTGTTGTTTCATGTGATCTGTGCATCGGGGTCGGCGTGTCTGGAAAACAGATGAATTAATGAAGTCGACAGGAAGGAAATAGCTGGCGTGACTACTAGGGTCCCGGATTTGTCTCAGCCATACACCATAGTAATCTAGCCTGTCGGCACGTGTCCATAGTTTACCTGGGGAACACGGCGTTAACCTGTGATGAGATTTCAATCAGTTGTAGAAAGCCTAGACAAAGTATGTTTCTAGGTAAAATATTGGTTCTCCTGTTAAGGCGGCTGGCGGGTTGCTTCATGGTTGAAGCCCCCGCTCGTCATAAGGAAGGCTCAAGTCCAATTCCCCAACTGGTGTCGATTTCTTGGTGTGCGCTCCTTGATGACGTTTGAATATTGCAGGAAACACCTTCTGTTCTGCTATGTTGTGTTTGCCTTGTTGACATCTTGAAAGGAGGGAGGCACAACGGCAGGAGGGACAGCGCAAACTCGTGCTGCCTCGTATACTGACAAGATGCTAATTGCCTGACACGATGCAGTTGATGTTTAAAGTATGTGATTCCTTTCACTGCGAGAAAAACTATTTCATACAATTAATTAATACATGACACGAGCGTCTGATGTTCTTGGTGTGTCTCCTAACGCTAGCAAACAGTGCAAGCAGTTGGGGAACATATCCAAATTATGAAGGGTTGATAAATAGGACAATTATAAAATAAATATCGTTCTCATTGGAGACAAACGGACTATCAGGGCGAATAGTATACAGCTTTGTTGATGGAAGATTTAATAGATATGCTGATAATGAAAGTTCATTTGTATTTAACTCACCGTGCATATAATCATAATTTAATAATTGATCAAGCGACAGGCGACCTGTAAATAATCGATTCTGGATCCGACAAATCTGTGGAGGAAAGCATGTGCAACGTCTTTAGCCATCGAGCAAGATGGCTGACTCGCACGGGACCAAGTATAGCAGCACATCCGATCCTAGTCTGTCATGCAGACCCTGAAGCAAATATATCCAAGAAAACCCACGCAGGTCTAGAAAATGTGGCAAGTCTAGATTTCCTCAGCTTCTGAAAATGAAGAAAGTATCAGGGCTCCTTTTCATTATATTTTTTTTTTTTTATTATGAACTTTTTTCAGTAAAATATGTTCATTTCAGAGACTAGTTGTTAGTCTAATCCGATCCAGTCCCTTTGCCAGAGAGATAGGAACCCATCCTTACAGAGTTTTCACATTTCTTTCATGCTATAAAGTCATTTTATAAGAGTTACCATTCTGTTGGTTCAGATATACGGATTCACGTGAAAAAGTTTAAACGTCGCGGCGTGTCATAGTATATACAGTACACCGTGGCCTGTCAGCACCATACCGTATTTCATCCAAAATGCTACTCATTATATTAACATGAGTCATGTTTCACAAAGTGTATCGGTCGAGTTTCTACACAAACATCCAAAGGACGGCAACACAGACGTGGTATTTGTTCGCAAAGACTCAAAGTTACACACATATAATCATCATTTTACTTACTAGTTTGTTGGTGCGTGCGTGCGCGTATGCGCGTGTGTGTCTGTATATAGGTGAGGTAACTTTGTTTCTGGGACCAATCACTAGTCTTCCAAAACCCTATGGTGATTTTCATGTGATATTTATTGCATTTTGAAGATATACTTGGACGTTAGAAATTAGGATTGACGAGTGTACACTTTGTTCCAGGTGATAGAAAAGCGAGAGGGTTCTACGAAGAGCCAACGCAAGCTGTCCCATGTTCCACTCGGGTCGCCCAAACAGATCCGAGCGACCATCAAGAGACGTTTCAGTGTGTTCAGCAGAGAACGGACCACTTTGTGAAACATACAAGTTTGAAACCTATGAAACATAATCCAGGTTATTATATCTGCCTTTTGTTCTGATACGTACCTTGGACAAAATTACCATAGCTTATTTTTGGGAAGTGACGTAACATGGCATTTCTCTGTTAAGTGACGTCTTAAAGAATTTCTCTATTTCAAGACTTTCCATTGAAATTTGTTTCGGCCTCTACTCAAAACGTAGTTGTGGTAGCCAATGAGTCAAGGGTATTTATCATGACAGAATGGAGACTTTATGCACTGGATAGACGAGGATGACAGAGACACAGTTATTATGTGTGGACTCAAACCATGTCTAACTATGGAGTCGTCGAAAAAACTCAAGGTCAGACAGTCAACTGCACAACGAAGTCAGAATACAGGTCGCCAAATGAGTCATGGGATAGCTGTGTTCAAGTGAACATACCTCGCAAAGTGAGACTCAGTTCCAAATGAAATAGCCACGAAACGACCTTGATATCTGCGTAAAAAAACCTCACATCTGATATTGTACTGTGATCCTAGAAACACCATCATTGTCACACCCACTCAAAACGCGCACCTGTCTGTCAAATACACGAGTCACTGTCTTCCCACTCGTACATTGTGCTCATACCCAGCAATGTAATGGTTGTTGATACACATAACACTGGCGCTTCCTTACGTCCCAGCTCACTTGGCGAATGACTGGATGGGAGAGACACACAGAGAGAAATGGACCAAGATACAACAGACTAATAGTACACAGTTGGTACAAGAACGTTTAATGCTCCTCGAGAGGGACACGGTGGTTTGGACATATATGCAGATTAACAGAGGTACCAGTTGAAGGGGCACTGAAGAATTCAAGAACAACATATATTGTTAAGCAGTGAAAACACTTGCAGCAGATAACTGATTTCGGTGTCTGTACCTCATTAGAAGTACGTAGCATTGTATAAAATGTGAATGTGTTCTTTCTTAAAATTACTAAAGTGAGACTATGATAAAATTTACTTTGAAATAGAAATCAGGGGCGGATACAGCTTTTGAGAAAGAGGGGTTGCACAGTTCCGAAAGGGAGGGGGGTTGGGTGTGCACAGTTCATTTTCACCCATTTTCACGAGTTTCAATGGTCATTTAGTAAAATTTCAGGACAAAAGGGTAGTGGTGCGGCACCCCTGCACACACACACACCCTAAGTTTGTAATAAACACCACAAACACCCCTGGGTCCGCCTATGGAAATATATATTCATGGTGCTACAATGTTGTATGTTTGATTGGAAGACTTTCTATTCTAATCGAGTAATCGAGGACGAAGGTATAGTCGAGTGCTGAGGTATATTTTATGCACTCAGTTTACTTTGCGAGTTTATTTTCACACCATTTTTACGACCGATACAGGTTTACTGTATCACGGTAAAACATTTACGTGTTACTTATAAATGTTTATATGTAAATTGGCACACAAGTTATATTTTCTTATGAATTCATTTCTCATAAGCAATGTGACACAGCAGCATATGATTCATACGTTTCATTTTTCATATTATTCATTTAAAGTTTGGTACAGTTGATCTGAGTCAGTTAATAGCCAGTCACTGAGAGGAAAATAATATACTATCCCAAAAAAGAAACGCATAGGCGTTTTGTATTTTAAAAATCTATTAATGACCTATGGTGTTCAAACATACGTCAAAATATGTAACAAAAGTGTTGATAACATGATTTTACACAATTGCACAAGTGAAAAATCGACATAACCTGAAAATGTTGATTTTGATGAGATTTCTTACAAGGATTAAAAACGCATCGCCACAACGCAACAGAAATCACCTTCCAGTTGAAATTGTGCAGTAAAGAGCATGCACTGTCTGGCTATAAAAATCCAGATTACTTTCGGAAATCGGCATTCGTTTTGAAGCAGTTTCAAATCACTACGCCACGTCTTTACGCTGCGACACGGAACATCGCCATTGAAAGAATGCACGCTGGAGATTACCAATCTTCTGTTGCCAGGCGTCTGAATGTTAGTCTGAGCACGATATCACGGCTTGCAGCTCGTAACAGGTATATACAGGTATAACAAATGACCGTCCCCGTACAGGCAGACCTCGAGTCACCACTGCAGCCCAAGATCGGCACATCCGGGTACTACATTTGCGTGATCGTACTGCCACGGGTGAGAGCACAGCAGCCAGGGTGCCTGGACGTCGGAGGATATCCGGTCAAACTGTACGGAACAGGTTAAGAAAGATTAAACTGAAAAGCAAGAGACCCGACGTCGGGACCGTGCTAGGTCGTTACCATCGCGCTCAACGTGTCCGTTATCTAAAATCATCCAATTGGTTGTATAGACATTTCCTTTTTCAAAACTGATGTAAAACTTCATGCACTAAAGTCTATTTGTGGACGAGTTATTCATGTCTGAAAATACAACATTTTCGCAACAGATTTCTGGCCTGTGCGTATCTTTTTTGGGATAGTATAGCATAAATGTTCTCAATAATCAGATTTAAGAAACAGTTTGGATAAAGATGAACGAACTGTATAAAACAGTGTGGGATTATTATTGGAGAATGCAGTATATTCAGTTGCTTCATAATACGATACTACTGTATTATCTCCCTTTGATTAGTATTAAAGTAGGTTTCATACGCAAGTCATGTGCAGCGAAGACGATGGTACTGAAATCCTGACGGTGTCCTAAAAAACGCTGCGCTTTTCTCAGACTATGAATAAACAGACCTGTCTTCTGGGGTCATTTACTTTAACGAGAGTTCAATGTATAACATATACAGATTGTATTTCTCACCAATTGGCAGCAGTCATTATTCGCGTATACATGGTCGTGTTTTGGTAATTAAATGTGTAGTTAGCATGATTTTACGCCGCTTCTAGAACTATTCTCGCATTATCATGGCAGGGGACACCTGAAATTGCCCGCAAACATATAGCTGGAATATTTCGGCGTTAAACAACAAACAAACCCAACCTGAAATTGCCTTCCTACTGAACCTATGTGGGGAGTAGAATCCGGCTCTTCAGTATGATAAGCAAACACACGCTTCCCCACCACCCAACTAACATCAGTGGATAGGTATGGTATTACGCCGCTTTTAACAATATTCCAGCAATATCACGGCGGGGGACACCAGAAATGGGCTTCACACATTGTACCCATATGGGGAATCGAACCCAGGTCTTCGGCGTGACGGACGAGCGCTTTAACCACTTGGCTACCCCACCGCCCTCACTGACATGAACAGCCCCTGAGAATATCTGTGGTGACCATGCCACAGTGGTTCTGATGCCGTGATTGTACGTTGGTGTTATATGAATATATATGTTCATCCGCTGTACATATTCTTTCACAATATTTATGTAGATTATAGTGTTTGTGTACTGTGTAATGATAATGTATTTATATGTGATCATATGTCGAAACAAATGACTCACTGTGAAATTATTTTCCGTTTTGAAAACGAGGCACTTGTCTGTCTCACAGTCCATGAACCATAATATTTTATCTTCCGTAAAGCTCTTGCTCTAATTCTTTATCCTTAAATGAACAAAGGCTAGATTTCTCACAGGAATTTCCCATTTCATTGGGTCTCATTTTTATCTTAAATCAAGTTGTTTCTTTCTATCTAAATTATACATGTATACTTTTCATCTGACAAGGCATATCCAGTACGCTATATCTTGATGAGAAACGGTCTTTGTTAAAGATGTTTGTTGTGCTTCCATGTCACGATGTTGCAGCCAAAACACAGCTTCAACTATATACAACACGGAGTTAAACGTTCAACTCCACTGGCATTGGATGTATGATGTATCAAAAATACATTTGTTGAGAATCATTAAACTTATTTTCACGAAACGTAAGAAGAATTGTTTGCTTTGATACACTCGCATCAGTTCAACCAAATATAACCCGAAATGGCTGAATCATTTGTATGGCTTCACGCTCTGCTGCACATACGTGGCCCCGGGTTACCTGCAGATTACACTGCGTCCAGGTCAACAATATTGACAAGACGTCTGTCTATACATAGGCCATAATCACACGTGCCCCACCGAGATCAGGGTCACGTGACAGTCCCAGCTGCGTTTTATTAGTTGTCCAAGCATCGCTTGGTGCGCGAGCAGAATTAAGTATGAAGTATCCCAACGACAATACTTAAAAACCTTAATTTCATGCACATGTATTCCAATATTCCATGTAAGGTTTGAAAACATGTACGTATATGACGTTGGCCTCTTCTCGGATACCACCCATTCACGATGATCCCGTGAAGATCAGGGTTAGATTTGATCTTCAGCAATCCAAGCTTGTGCGGGGCGACTAACGGGAGCGAGTGGTTATGCATCTTAACTGACTGACTGACTGAGTTTGGTTTTACGCCGCTTTTAGCAATATTCCAGCAATATCACGGCGGGGGACACCAGAAATGGGCTTCACACATTGTACACATGTGGGGATTCGAACCCGGGTCTACCCCACCGCCCCTTATGCATCTTAACACATTAATTAGTATAGGCGACATGTGGGCATATCATTTGCACAGGTGCAATATATTAATATGACCCTATCTGCGGATGGTCAGGTTGGCTGGCATGGTCCGAGCATATCTCCGCATCCTAGATCTATGCTCATGATGTCGATCACTGCATTAACTGGTCCAGAGCAGGTGCGTAGCAAGCCAATTTTTTCGTGGAAGCCCGATAGGTTGAAAAGCTTTATATTTAGACGGTATTGAGGGCTTGCCCAACCTTTTTAGTGTCAATCATGTGTAAGCCCGGGCTTTTTTCATAATGGTAGCTACGCCCCTGCAGAGTCAGTTACAGACCGTCGTCATTAGTACTGAGTGCGATATTAAACAAACAACAGAACACTACACGCAGCATCACAACCTAGAAAGGAGAACGAGTCCATGGTTAGGTTATGGTCTACAGCGAATAATTTCATAGCAGATGTTTCCATGACGTGACCCGTGAAGATCCGTGTTATAATTGGCCTTCAGCATCCCATGCTTGTCGTAAGTGGCGACTAACAGGATCGCGTGGTCAGGCTCTCTGACTTGGTTGACACATCTCATCGTATCCCAATTCCGTAGATCGATGCTCATGCTGTTGATCACTGGCTTGTCTGGCGCAGATTCGATTATTTACAGATCGCAGCCTTATAGCTGGAATATTGCTGAGTGCGGCGTAAAAAATAAACTCACTCTGCATGACCTAGCAAACAAACTTCATTCCAATCATGCACACCGCCAACGGTGCGTTATGCATCTTAACACATGTATTAGTATGGGCGACATGCGTGGATATCATTTGCGCAGGTGCGATATATTAATATCACCCTATCTTGTTAGCCATTCGTATTATCTGTATTATATAGCCTCATAATAAATCATTGGATGTTATTAGGTTGTGTTTTGACTACAGTGTGAATTTATAGTAACTATACTGGCACAGATACCCTGTCAATAAGACACAGAAGGAGCTACAGCATTTATATCAACATAATGATTTGTTTTGTACCAAACGCCACATAAATATGTTCCGAAGCCATAAAGTAAAAAGCGTTATGATGATATTGTCATAACAACCAACCGTTTCAACCCTCTGCAAACCGATTTGCTATTTTTATCACGCAAATCACTATGGGAGACAATTGTCGGACAGTTTATGCATTGTTTCATGACTATAAATGCTGGCTGTCGCCATGACAACAAAAGGTGACTTGTTTGTATAGTTGAAGCACATTCCATAGTTGACTTGGTCTGGTGTCCTTGTAAGTCAGAATCTTACAAAAGGTATCGGATGTTACCTATCCTCATTATCACTATGTATTCGGTTGAGGACTCCTTGGCATGTTGAAATGAATGTGTACGTATACTAGGTCATCCCTCCATGTCCGTACACCAGGTCATCCTTTCATATCCGTACACCAGGTCATCCTTCCTTGTCCGTACACCAGGTCACCCCACCATATCCGTACACCAGGTCACCCTTTCATATCCGTACACCAGGCCATCCCTCCATATCCATACACCAGGTCATCCCTCTATGTCCGTACACCAGGTCATCCTTTCATATCCGTACACAAGGCCATCCGTCCTTGTCCGTACACTAGGTCATCCCTCCATGTCCGTACACTAGGTCTCCCCACCATGACCGTACACCAGGTCATCCCACCATGTCCGTACACCAGGTCATCCCACCATGTCCGTACACCAGGTCATCCCACCATGTCCGTACACCAGGTCATCCTTTCATATCCGTACACCAGGCCATCCTTCCTTGTTCATACACCAGGTCATCCCACCATGTCTGTACACCAGGTAACCTCAACATGTCCGTACACCAGGTCATCCCTCCATGTCCGTACACCAGGTCATCCCACCATGTCCGTACACCAGGTCATCCCACCATGTCCGTACACCAGGTCATCCTTCCATGTCCGTACACCAGGTCATCCCACCATGTCCGTACACCAGGTCATCCTTCCTTGTCCGTACACCAGGTCATCCCTCCGTGTCCGTACACCAGGTCATCCTTTCATATCCGTACACCAGGTCATCCTTCCTTGTCCGTACACCAGGTCACCCCACCATGTCCGTACACCAGGTCATCCCACCATGTCCGTACACCAGGTCATCCCACCATGTCCGTACACCAGGTTATCCCACCATGTCCGTACACCAGGTCATCCCACAATGTCCGTACACCAGGTCATCCCACCATGTCCGTACACCAGGTCATCCTTCCTTGTCCGTATACCAGGTCATCCCACCATGTCCGTACACCAGGTCATCCCACCATGTCTGTACACCAGGTCATCCTTCCTTGTCCGTACACCAGGTCATCCCACCATGTCCGTACACCAGGTCATCCCAACCATGTCCGTACACCAGGTCATCCTTTCATGTCCGTACACCAGGTCATCCTACCATGTCCGTACACCAGGTCATCCCACCATGTCCGTACACCAGGTCATCCCACCATGTCCGTACACCAGGTCACCCCACCATGTCCGTACGCCAGGTCACCTCACCATGTCCGTACACCAGGTCACCTCACCATGTCCGTACACTAGGTCACCCCAACATGTCCGTACACCAGGTCATCCCACCATGTCCGTACACCAGGTCATCCCACCATGTCTGTACACCAGGTCATCCCACCATGTCCGTACACCAGGTCATCCCACCATGTCCGTACACCAGGTCATCCCACCATGTCCGTACACCAGTCATCCCACCATGTCTGTACACCAGGTCATCCCACCATGTCCGTACACCAGGTCATCCCACCATGTCTGTACTCCAGGTCAGGTCTCCCACCATGTCGTACATACACCAGGTCACCTCACCATGTCCGTACACCAGGTTATCCCACCATGTCAGTACATACCAGGTCATCTCACCATGTCCGTACATACAGGTCATCCCTAACATGTCCGTACACCAGGTCATCCCACCATGTCCGTACACCAGGTCACCCCACCATGTCTGTACACCAGGTCATCCTCACCATGTCCGTACACTAGGTCATCCCCACCATGTCTGTACACCAGGTCATCCCTCACCATGTCCGTACACACCAGGTCATCTCCCACCATGTACATTACACCAGGTCACCCAACCATGTCCGTACACCAGGTCATCCCACCATGTCTGTACACCAGGTCATCCAACCATGTCCGTACACCAGGTCATCCCACCATGTCTACATACTCCAGGTCACCCCACCATGTCATCCGTACACCAGGTCATCTCACCATGTCAGTACGTACACCAGGTTATCCCACCATATCCGTACACCAGGTCACCTCACCATGTCCGTACACCAGGTTATCCCACCATATCCGTACACCAGGTCACCTCACCATGTCCGTACACCAGGTCACCCCAACATGTCCGTACACCAGGTCATCCCACAATGTCCGTACACTAGGTCACCCCACCATGGCTGTACACCAGGTCACCTCACCATGTCCGTACACTAGGTCACCCCACCATGTCTGTACACCAGGTCACCTCACCATGTCCGTACACTAGGTCACCCCACCATGTCCGTACACCAGGTCACCCAACCATGTCCGTACACCAGTCACCCCACCATGTCTGTACACCAGGTCACCCAACCATGTCCGTACACCAGGTCACCCCACCATGTCTGTACACCAGGTCACCCCACCATATCCGTACACCAGGTCACCTCACCATGTCCGTACACCAGGTCATCCCACCATATCCGTACACCAGGTCACCCCACCATGTCCGTACACCAGGTCACCCCACCATGTCCGTACACCAGGTCATCCCACCATGTCCGTACACCAGGTCATCCCCACCATGGCTGTACACCAGGTCACCCTCACCACCATGTCCGTACACCAGGTCACCATGTCCCACCATGTCCGTACACACCAGGTCATCCCACCATGTCCGTACACCAGGTCATCCCACAATGTCCGTACACCAGGTCATCCCACCATGTCCGTACACCAGGTCACCCAACCATGTCCGTACACCAGGCCATCCCTCGAAGTTCGTATCCAAGGTTACCTGCTATGTCCTAACATCAGATTAACACCACCCACCCCCCACTCCCCACACCCCCACCCCTTCCCCACTGTGTCTCGGAGGGCTGCAGGTATAGTGTCGCGAAATGCTTGAGTGTGCAGTGAGGCGTGGTCCAGATCTGAATTATTCACGAGGGGAAGGTGTGGAGAGGGAGGAAAGTAGACGGGTTAGGGTAGGGATGGAGGGGAGAGATCTTATCAGGCCTATAAACAGAAAGGAAAGTCTGGGGACATCAACAACCTTATAAAAATCAGGGCCTGGAAATTCCAGATTCTGGTTGTCATATGCTTATTGCTGACGTTCATGTATTTAATGAATATAATTTTAAAAGCATTAAATGTATCAGCACCACGGTAGCCTTGTGCTTAACTCACTGAAATAGGTTGCCAGTTCAATTTGAGATACATTTCTTTACAGCATTCCAAACATTGCCTTCTGTTACCATTGTCATGTATGTTGTGCCGATTATTTTCAAAAGAAATTTAAAGCGAATCTCTGACTAATGACGTTTAACACAATGCCAAACCTACTCTCCGTGCGGTGCCTTCTAGAAGTCCAGGAAATGACCACAAATTATCGAGGTGTTATTCTACGACAGCAAAGTACCGTCAAACAGTAGGATGACGTCACAAGAAGGTTCAAGAACCTCATTCGCCCAGTATTCAGTGTTTGCACATTTGGGAAAGAAATACAAACCATGAAAGTAGACATTTATCTAACAGCAAAATCTGTTTCATTTTAAAGAATGCCATTACAAAGGTTAGTCTGCAGGTTCTCACTGCCATATTTCAATATATTCACGTATGTCATGTTGGTTTGTTAACTTCAATTCATTAAATGAAAACTGAGCGATCTTTCATTTTACAGGCAGTGAAACATTTATTTACTCGGAAATGGGATGAGACATTCCTTATCCTATTGTCTCTTGTCTAATTGATTATCGACTAGCTGAAGCGCGTCCGAACGTTCATCGACAGGTGAGAGAGAGCGAGGCCAACAACGTCAACGCGCAGCAAACTCGACAGAAGACGCGCGCATGCGGAACAGGTATACAGAACGTTGACTACACCTGGACGTTCACCAGCTGAGGCAGTTGTCGCAGGCTGTAGAGGAGGCTGGGCGTGCTGATGAAACAGGCATCTACAGGTACGTTTACAGACCGATACACCACTCGCCATCTCAGAACTCTATTACAACAGGTGCGAGTCTTTGTGTTCAAGAACATCACCAGTGTGTGCCTCTGTGCATATTGGTATACCCACTGTGTTCAGTACTATCTGGATGCTGGGTGCAGTAGAGGATTACATTCAATATATTCAGGTCACGAGTGTGGAAGCAGTTCTCTGTGAAAGGATGTTACGCTTGAATGCGTTTAAATGGGTCAGCTTGTTGATATGACGAAGACGATATTAATAATACCTCTCTATGGATTTGACAACAAAATCGTAGAATTTATACCATATACACAACAGGCTAAAGTTTAGAAGTGTATAGATATTCTATTATATTCTATGATTATGTTCTATGAACAGATTCAATAGAATTGTGGGGCACGAATCAAAGTGTATGAATGTTTGGGGTTTTTAAGATGTGGATTTAACCCACTTTAAACTGGGGATTATAAGAGTTTTTCAACTTTGTTTACCCTTGGTTAACGTAAATAACATCCCTCATTCCTTACAACAGAATACACGTTCTGGGCACTGGATCTTATTGAACTAGTATTGCCAATGGAAACATGCAGTGTTGTAATGACATAAAGAACGTCACCAGACCAGGTTAGGTGTCTCTCCATCTCTCTTATTCATTCATGTTTCTGGGTTCGGGATTTTCAAAGGCATATGACCAGAATAGGACTTTTCTGTACAAAAAAACTGTAAGCATATCTGTGACCTCCAAATGAACTTTATATCAAATGTTTGTACTATTTCTATGTACTTCTTTTGTCAAGATCAGCATGAGTCTAGACCTACTTATAATCAGATTTTAGAAAAGATAGTTTCTGCAAACTGCATAAATCTGCCCTTTTGGAACAGTTACGGCTTGGATACAGTTTAGTTGTATGTCCGAAATATTTAGTGGATGAAAATATACAGGTTTGACCTCTTTTCTGAAAGTTTTCCTCATTTCCTAAATCATTTCGTCGGCCAATACTGTCGATTATCACACGTTGTAATTGAACTGGACCTGCATTGGTCGGGCATGAACATTCCGAGTTCTGTGCAGGGATTCGAACCATGGACCTTCTGGTCCGAAGTCGAACACCGACCAAAGGAAGTAACCCCCTGACTGAGTAGACGTTAGCTAGTGAGGATGCCATCTGTGGGGTGTTCCTTGTTTCACCATCAACAACGTAAGGAAACACTACCCAAGCTGCATCGGAGACATTGTAGACAGAACAAGAGGACGTTGTAGGATTTCAGATTATATTTGAGGCCCTTTTATGTCTGACAAAACCAAGGCGAATACATAATCATATTCACCTAACATGGACTCTCTGTGGTTGCTACAATCACAGCCTGTTGATTATCGTGAGTTTGACATGCGTATGTTCAAATAACACTTGACAAATAGATTGTGTTTCAAAGCTTACTTTAAGTCGGTTGGTTCACAGGTGGACCCGTCTGTTGTAGTAATTGAACTGACACCTTTGTGGTGGGACCAGATGGTGTGGATGAAAGAACGTATGTGTCATGCATGACTGGGTCATTTCTTCACAAGAGATGTGTTTTGGAGATAGTTCGACAATTCAGTTTTTCTCAAACATGCAGTGATGAGTCATATGAAGCCATGACCCAACATAGCTGTCCAAGTCAGTGCAATTCGATGGGCACAGTTGCATCACTTAGGCGTGCCAGGCCTACAATCATGGGTTCGAATCCCTGATTCGTCCTCATATCTCTCGGTTTGGAGGTTGTCGGTTTAACCCCAAACACGTAAACAGGAAACAACAAGAAGTCACTAAATGCCAGTAACAATAGTAGCAGTGACAATACAACCTTTATGATAGCAAATCTTCTCTTCAGATTCATTGAATCTTCAGAATGTTCATAAGATCCTTCAATCCAAGATTCAGTTTTGTAAACATCAAGCTGACCACCATGACAGTTCGTAGGAAAATGGCATGTGAAATCAGTTGAATATCAAATACATTGTTTTTATTGTTTAAAGAATGTTCATAAGTTCCTTCTTTTCATTGAAGTGTTTGATATGTCAGAAGAAAATATATAGCAGGAAAATTGAAAAAGAGAGTGTCAAACTATATGAATACAAGTTTCGATAAAACGATGCCCTTCATCTTTTAAGTGATGTTTCTGGCATATTATTGACTGACTTCAAGGTCAAGGTCAATGCAAACAAAATATTTATGAAAACAGCGCATTATCCCAATAGGTGGCGATGTTTTGAAAGGACATTCACCCAAACAGGCGATTGGACACGGTCCCCTGGGCACGACCCATACCAGGATACTAGCCGCCAGCTTCAGTCCAATACATCCATGGGATCCCCTCTTTCGCTCTTCCCCATTACATAAGCACATTATTCCCCAAATAGGTCATATATGTTTATTGCATGACTTGTTTGTTTACACCCCAGCACGATGGTTCAGGTCAAGCTTCATCCATGCCCTACCTATTGTATGGCTATGTTGTTTACATGAGTGAACTGACCAGCCAGCCTTCTCATTTGGCAAGATTGTATTTATCGATAGCATTGTATGCCCTACCAAACAGTTTATGAAGGTGTGAGCTCCGGCACACCTTGTAGATTTATATAGGCTAGGTTATATTGTTATATTTTCTAAAGGGAGCCCATGTGGGATAAACGTTTGAGGCTCCGCAATTCGCTGTGCAGAATTGCGTCCCTTTGGCGTCCCAGAAACCTCTTGCCATTTGGCAAGATTGTATTTATCGATAGCATTGTATGCCCTACCAAACAGTTTATGAAGGTGTGAGCTCCGGCACACCTTGTAGATTTATATAGGCTAGGTTATATTGTTATATTTTCTTAAAGGGAGCCCATGTGGGATAAACGTTTGAGGCTCCGCAATTCGCTGTGCAGAATTGCGTCCCTTTGGCGTCCCAGAAACCTCTTGCCATTTGGCAAGATTGTATTTATCGATAGCATTGTATGCCCTACCAAACAGTTTATGCTCCGGCACACCTTGTAGATTTATATAGGCTAGGTTATATTTTCTTAAAGGGAGCCCATGTGGGATAAACGTTTGAGGCTCCGCAATTCGCTGTGCAGAATTGCGTCCCTTTGGCGTCCCAGAAACCTCTGACTGTCTGGTTCGGTCTGAGTTACCTTAGAAACCCATGCTTGTGTGCTGTCATCAAAGCTTGTAGTGCCAACAACTGAATAACAGGATAAATGGGTAAGACAACAGGATAAATGGGTAAGACAACATGACAGCTGTTGTTGGTGCTCAAATCAAATTTCTCCTAAATCTTAAAACCACTGCTCTTTTTGATGACATGTAATTATTCTTTGAATTATGTACAAGTTTGGGTTTTTCGCATTCTGTAGTTGGGTTCATGTCATTTCAAACCAATCTGTGCTGAATCCGTTTTTTGGGAGTAATTTCCAAATATTCAGATACGAATTTTCTAGTGAACCTCAACACCATATCAGTTGCACACACACAGTCAAACATACACACGCACGCACACAGACACAGAGTCGCACGCAGGCAATCACTCGCACACACGTGTACAAACATACACACAAACCAGCTCCTTGTGAAGATCAGGTTCGGGATCGGGTGGCCAGGCTTGCTGACCTGCTTGATGTATGTCATCGTATCCAAATAGCGCTGACTGAAGCTCGCGATGTCAGTCACTGTATTGTCTGGTCCACACTCGATTACAGCCATCATACAGCCGGAATATTGCTGAGTACGACGCTAAACATAATGACACTAAATACCCGCATCCAAACACACTCCGGTCTCTAACACAAGGGGCAGTAGGGTAGCCTAGTGGTTAAAGTGTTCGCTCGTCACGCTGAAGACCCGGTTCGATTCCCCACATGAGTACAATGTGTGAAGCCCATTCTTGGCGCCCACGCCGTGATATTGCTGGAATATTGCTAAAAGTGGCATAAAACTAAACTCACTCACTCACTCTGACACAGCTGACGGTAGAGTGTTTAAGGGTTCTGTAAACCTACAGGTGCTCATCAAGTCCAATATTACGAATACAGTCAACAATAGAAGTGACCTTTGGTTAACCTTACGTTTACAAGGGTCACATGTGTCATGGTGCACGCTTCATCGACCAACTAATTGCTTTTATTAACACCAAGTGTTCACGCTGTACCACACACTGTCACACACATCAACACAGACATCGATAACCGGTTTGCCCTCGGTCATGGCATTCATCGACAGACATGGCCAGCATATGAAACAGAAGCTAGTAGCTACTTAACGCACATCGCTTTACTGGATGTACGTAAACATGTACGTACTACATGTCGTTTTAGATAAAATACTTACTGAAGCCGAACAAACCATGCTGTCGGCATCCTATATTGATTTACATATATGCTAAAACTAAAATACTAGCAATTGTACGGTTTTTCATAAGAATATATTCATATATATGGAAATTACAGATAATCGTTTTTAAAAAGTTTATAGTATCAAAAATGACAGCGTTTGAGGCGATCAGTGTAAGGCCGAGTTCTACCTAGATTTGCAACCAAACATGTAAGGCCGAGTTCTACCTAGATTTGCAACCAAACATGTGAGGCCGAGTTCTACCTAGATTTGCAACCAAACATGTAAGGCCGAGTTCTACCTAGATTTGTAACCAAACATGTGAGGCCGAGTTCTACCTAGATTTGCAACCAAACATGAGGCCGAGCTCTACCTAGATTTGTAACCAAACATGAGAGGCCGAGCTCTACCTAGATTTGCAACCAAACATGTAAGGCCGAGTTCTACCTAGATTTGCAACCAAACATGTAAGGCCGAGTTCTACCTAGATTTGCAACCAAACATGAGAGGCCGAGTTCTACCTAGATTTGCAACCAAACATGTAAGGCCGAGTTCTACCTAGATTTGCAACCAAACATGTAAGGCCGAGCTCTACCTAGATTTGCAACCAAACATGAGAGGCCGAGTTCTACCTAGATTTGCA